TGTTTTCAAAGTATTCGACGCACACAGATTTTCACCCTCTTTTTTGGGGGGGGAAAAGGTGCATCTTATACTCTGAAAAATACGGTAGGTGAAATTTGGCTTCTGGTCCAGACCTCTGGCCTCGGCTGTCCCTTTCCCCACCTGAAATCCGGAATCCCTGAAGCTGTGCTGATACCCGCCCCGGTGTGAAAGACCACGTTGAAAGAATTCTGGATCAAGTCAGCCAGCTGATGGATCTTCTTTTCCAACTCGTCCGGCGGATCAAAAATCTGAATAAAAGATTGGAGACATTAGTGTAGGCGCCGAGTGGGTTGCAGTGCAGAGGTGAAGCAATGGGTCCCTGAAGCACCTACGAAGGTGTGAATCCCTTGTTCGATATCAACAGCCAGGAGTTTAACCGCCCTGCTGAGGTCAAGAGAAAACCCACCTCCAGCCAGATTAAGGCTGATCTGGTTACTTTCTGCTTTATTATTAGATTTCCGCCCCCTCTTTTTTTTTACATCTAAGTAATCCTCGACTCACCAACATAACTGAGTCCAAAATTTCCATGGCTAAGCAAGGCAGTTAAGCGAGGGGGGTTTCTCCCCATTTTACGTTACAATCTATTTGCTACAGTTGTTAAGCGAATCACTGCAGCGGTTAAGCAAATTTTGTCCCATTTTGCAGTACAGTCTATTTTCCACAGTTGTTAAGCGAATCACTGCGGTTGTTAAATGAATGACATGGTCGTTAAACACATCTGGCTTCCCCCATTAACTTTGCATATCGGAAGCCAGCTGGAAAGGTCACAAGTGGTGATCATGTGAATCCAAGACACTGCAACAGTCATAGAGACATGTCAGTTGCCAAGTGCCTGAATTTTGATCACGTGACCCTTGGGATGCAGCAACGGTCATAACTATGAAAAACAGTCATCAATCACTTTTTTCAGTGCTGTTGTAACTTCAAACGCCCACCCAATGAATAGTTGTTACAACCACAGCTGTGACTGCGATTAGATTAATTAGATTAGATTAGGATGGATGGATGGATGGATGGATGGACAGATAGGCAGAAAGAGAAAGATGATAAAGAGATAGAGATAGACAGACACAGATCAAGATATAGACAGAGACAGATGATAAAGAGATAGAGACAGACAGACAGAGAGACACAGAATAAGAGATAGATAGACAGAGAGACAGATGATAAAGAGATAGAGACAGATCAAGATAGAGATAGACAGACAGACAGAGACAGATGATAAAGAGATAGAGACAGACAGACACAGATCAAGATATAGACAGACAGACAGAGATAGAGGATAGATAGAGAGACAGACAGAGAGACACAGAATAAGATAGAGATAGGAAGGTGGGTAGATATATAGGCAGGGAGGCAGGCAGAGATTGATAGACAGATAGATACAGATAGATGACAAATAGATACAGATGGCTACAAAGTGAGACAGACATTGATCAAGATAGAGATAGACAGATAGATGATAGAGACAGATAGATGATAAAGAGATATACAGAGACAGACAGACAGACAGACAAAGGTAGGTAGTTGGACAGAGAGACAGACAGACACAGACTGACACAGAAAGCTCCCAAAACTTTAAAAAAAACAAAACCAAAGATTAATTTTGAGAAGAGGCACTACTTATATATAGCTAGTCCTTGACTTGTGACCTCAATCGAGTCCAAATGCATGTGGCTAAGCGAGACACTGATTAAGGTGAATTTTGTCCCATTTTACCCCCTTTCTTGCCACCGCTGTTAAGTGAATCACTGCAGTTGTTAAAAGACAATAACAGGGTTGTTAAGTGAACAATCCTGGCTTCCCCACGGAAGGTCGCAAAAGGGAATCGCCTGGCCTCCACCCCAGGATGCTGCAACCGTCATAAATACGAGTCAATCGCCAAGCGCTCTGAATTTTGAACCTGTGACCCCCCTGGGGGACGCTGCCACCATCATTAAGTCTGAAAAACAGTCCTAAGTCACTTTTATCAGGGCCGTCAGAACCCCAGTCANATGACCTTTCTTGCCACAGTTAAGCAAATCACCGCAGTTGTTAAGTTACTAACCTGGTTGTTAAGTGAATCTGGCTTTCCCATGGACTTTGCTGGTCAGAAGGTCGCAAAAAGGGATCACGTGACCCCCGGGACACTTCAACCATCATAAATATGAGTCAGTTGCCAAGCATTCGAATTTTGACCACATGACCACGGGGATGCTGCAATGGTCGTAAGTGTGAAGACTGGACATAAATCACTTTTTTCATTGACATTGTAACAGATGAACAGAGTTGGAAGGGACCTTGGAGGTCATCTAGTCCAACCCCTCTGCCCAAGCAGGAAGACCCTCCACCATTTCTGATAGATGGCAGTCCAGTCTCTTCTTGAAAGCCACCAGGGATGACGCTCCCACAACTTCCGAAGGCAACGTCTGTTCCATTGGTAGTTTCAAATAGCCACTAAATGAGGACAACCTGCATTAGATGGAATATTCCACTATAAATCTGCAGCCTTTTCCTTGTATCCCCCATAATGAGATTTGAGCATTCAAGGCTTCATAATTCATCATCTGTGCATTGAGCATGGCTTCCAAACCAAATTTGCATCCTCATTTCTACGCACGGCTTCATAAACCAAAATAGCTTATTTGAAGCCTGCTGTTCCCGAATCTAAAACTTGATGTGAAAATTCTGAGTTACCATATTTTTGGGACTATAAGAGGCAACTGAGTATAAGACGCACCAAGATTTTGAAGAGGTAAATTAAAAAAAAAAAAACTTTTTGCACTCTAAAGGCCTCCCAAACCCTCTGCACGCCTTGTTTTTTGTGAAAAGGGGGCATGCAGAGAGTTTGAGAGGCATGCAAAGTGCTCCTAGAGGCTGGGGGAGGCAAAAATGAGCAAAAAACAGGGCATGCATAAGCTTTGGGAAGCTTGTAGAATGCATCTTGGAGGGGGGGGGGAAACGACAGCCCATTTTCCGCTCATTTTTGCCCTCCCCAGCCCCAAGGATCACTTTGAAGTCCCCCCAAACCCTCTGCATGTCCATTTTTGTGAAAAACATCCCGGAGTGGGGTTTCAGAAGGCCAAAAATGCTGTATTCAGTGTATAAGACGCACCCAGATTTTCACCCTCTTTTTTGGGGGGGGAAAAGGTGCATCTTATACTCTGAAAAATACGGTAGGTGAAATTTGGCTTCTGGTCCAGACCTC